CCTTCCTTTTTTTACTGTAGTTCAGTAAGATGGTGACAGTGCCATCCCCTCAGTGTGTGGGCCGCGAGTTTGTGCGCCAGTATTATACCCTTCTCAATCAAGAGCCCGTACAGATTCACAGGTATAATGTAGATGATACTCATAATTGAAGTCATATAGACAAAGTTGTGCAATAGTGTAGAAGATCATTCTTTCCAGTGGAGTTATTGTTGTGCTGAAAAGTAGTTGCCACTTCAGAGTTCCATCTTGTGACTTTGCTTTCTTTATATCCATCATTATTGTCAAAATCACCAGCTTTGTAGCTTATGGCAAGATAATTGTTTAGTTTGGCTGTATAGCCATCATGTGATACAGACTCACCTGTTGGTGGGAGAAAATAAACTTGATATCAAAAGTCTCTGTTATATTGAACTGTGCATAGAATAAATGTAGACTGAGCTAAAGGTGCACTACATACTAACATGTATTCAATGAGGCTGTAACAATAATTTTGTATATTATGAATGTTCTTTGTCCAGGTTTTACACAAAGCAATCCTGGTTTCTTCATGGGAGGGCTGAGAATGGACTAAATGAACCCCCTGTGGTTGGCCAAGAGGTATGTGTGCTGTGTTGGACTAAGTCTACTGCCTCTTACCTCCGGAGCTTGTTAAAGTTTCATGATAAGCTTCAGGTTTCAGTTTTGTTAGTATGAATTAGCTAAGATTATTATATCTCCTTCTGAAATGGGTGGTAACCATTTCAAACTTGTGGGGATAGAGGCTTTGTGAGCATAGAGCCCAAATCAAGAGCCCAGTGAGCTCACAGGTTAACTCTCATAATGTGATGGTTAATTCTCCCCTTTAGCTGGTACACATTTCATCTTAAAGTAGTTGCAATTATTTTATGTTAGATCAAGATAACTTCTACCTGATAGGTTTGAGTATTCTCAATACCTGTTTGCTCGATGATATATGCAAATTATGAAGAGAAGTTACATATCAATCACTTCTGAGAGTTAAAGGGTGAAACAAAAAAAGAACAATCAATATATAAACTCAGAGAAGCGACTTAAGTTTAACTGAATCGTAAAGTTAAATCTTGCTATTTTTTTATATTCTTTTAGGCAATTTACAACAAGATCAAAGAACTCAATTTCAATGACTGCCACACAAAGATAAGACAAGTGGACAGTCACTCCACTGTTGGGGGTGGGGTAGTGGTGCAGGTAAAGTTCAAATTGAATCTGCAAAGCAATTAAATTTTGAGGATGTCTCCAACTCAGTCTATTAGTAGTTTAAGTTACTTATGATACATGCCAGGGTGTGAAATTGTGCCTAATATAGGCGCCAATGCAACTAACTTTTTCACTTTGGTGACCAAATCCTGGAAATTAGTCGCCAAATTGGCGACTAGAATGTTTCATCATAACCTTACCAAGAGATATAATGAATTAAAAAGATTTGCAGAGATAAATCTGTTGCAAACTTCCTCGTTAAGTTTGTTTCCAAAATGCAACAGATGCATCTCGATTGATAACTAGACGCCATCTTGGAATTAAGTGAGCTACAATGTTGTATATTATCCATTGTAGTGTCCACTTTGTAGCACGTTAAAGATCTTTTCCCAAACTTAATTTTGGAGGGTCTATTTAGAATGCTGATGGCTTAAAAGAAGGTTTTGTTTGTCTTTGAAAATGGCGACCAACCTTTTTTCACTTGGCTACCACTTTGAAGAATTTAGGAGCCAAGTGGCTATCAGAAAAAAAATTAATTTCATGCCCTGCATGCCTTTTAGTTTTGATAGGAACTGCTAAATAGACTATACTTGTCTGCTTGTTAAGAGATATATTTTGTATCTCAGTGATTCCTTTTTTGGGGGGAATTTCTTTACCTAAGCTGTAAGAAGTTGATTTATTCTTTAAAACGTTCACATGCAGTAGTGTAGTAGAGAAGTGTTTAAAATCACAGAAACTACAAATTTCTATCAGTCTCTTGTAGTCATGGAAAGGAAATGTAAAAATTTTCATTGAGTGAAATCTCTACTGACTGAGGTGATGTTCTCAAGCATGTACTATCTGTACACGTATATCGGTGAATCCAATTTCTTGGAGAGTGCTTATGCTGTATTATTTGTTGTTTGATCTGTGGCAGGTGTCAGGTGAACTGTCCAATCATGGTCAGCCCATGAGAAGATTTATGCAGACCTTTGTTTTGGCTCCTGGCGAGGTAAGTACAGTCAAACCTGTATTCAGGAGCAGTGTGTTAAGCAGTTTCCCTATATGAAGCAATCACTTTTCTCTTTTTCCACTTAATTTAAGTAAAATATCAACCTGATAAGTGATAAGAATAAAGAAAAATATCAATTTGGGGATAGTTAGTTGATCCAATACTAAATTCTCTGCACTAACATCATAAGAATTGTATAGTTGACAATAAGGAGAATAACAAATTTGATCTGGGAGCTAAAGGGTTAAGCAGTCAACCTGTATGAGGCAGTCATCCCACCGTTCCTTGTGAATGATCACTTTACTCTTTCCTCCCTAACATCAGTATGCATATTCTCCATACTACTCCCTAGACATTTCCTAGGGTTCTGACCAGGGAGAATTTGTTAAAAAATCAAGGGCTTCTTTAGTTGGTGATCATCTCCTTTATTCTCATGACCTTAGTGTATGATTGAGGGGTGTTGTTGTAAGGAGAAATTAGATTTTGTAAAAAAGGTTATGGTTAGATGTTAGTCACTCTTACAGGTTAAAGGGTTTAGTGCAGGTTCTACTGTACTCACCGCTGAGGATTTTTCAACCTATTCAGTTTTATATTATGTAGAATCATTTGACAGAACATTTAAAAAATCAATATATTTGTCTAGCTAAGTAAACAATTTACTTTTTGAAACAGATAATACCTATGAATAAATATCTCTCTAGGAATTTTTTGGGTAAAATCAAGGTTATTGTCCATTTATACATATCACCCACAAACATAAGTTAATTTTGTTTGACCAGGGACCAAGAAAGTATTATGTCCATAATGACATATTCCGCTATCAAGATGAGGTGTTTTCTGAGGAGACAAGTGATGAGCCAGCTGATGGTACTGTTGGTAAGGAGAAGTATATCAATTGTTTCACTTTTTTAAGTCTTAAGCAACCATTTGCCAGTGTCTCTGAAATTTTAGTAGCCAGATTTTTTTCTACTGGTCATTATGACCAAAATAATTGCAGTGTTGAGTATTGAATGTTTTAAGCGATGGCTTTCTAAGAAGCTTGAATAAATGAAGTGTTAGTTACTACTGATGGTTTTTCTTGAAGATTCGGAGGGGGAAGAAGATGTTCCTCAACCAGGGCAAGTGAGCAACAATGTCAACAGCTACAGCCAACCTAACCAGGAGCAGGAAGTGCCGCAGGACAAGGCCAATGACAACTTGCATTACACAGACCAGGGACAAACCAATGGGTAATCATTGTCTTGGTTATAAAATGTTTTATGTTAAAAGCAATGAAATTCATTTAGCCCTGAAAACATGGAAATGACAACATACAAAGAGCTTGAGCTTTGAAAAAGGCAATGTTGATCTTTGAAATATATTTGATTCTTGGAGTGAGATATTCTCAGACCACGATTCATACAATAATGTACATCCTAGCCTCTGTGTGCTTGACTGAAAGACACTCTGTTATATTTGAAAAGAATGTAATATATGTAAAGAATCTTTTAGATAATAATGATGTAGCTTTACTATCAGTCCACACAGTAGTTCATAAATGTTAATAGCATGTTTTCCTTTCTTGTTTATACACGCACATACAGCTGTATGTACTTTGCATCTGTCCCATTACACTTGACCTGACAGGGGTTGGTATGTCATTCTATGACTTTGAATTAGGCACATTTAAGATAAGGAAATTTTGATTGTCATTAATTTTCTCTGTTTTTATTTGTTCAGTCCTGGAGGGTTACTGAACCAAGATCCATTGCTAAATGATAATGTGGGTGATGAAGAATCCTCAGAACTGCAAGAAGTTGTCATCGACAAACAGCCCCAGGTAGATGGATAGTTACATTTTTTGTCATGGTTGATCAGTAACAGCCACAGAGCAGATTGTAAAATTTTCATTTGAGAATATAAATTGATTATTGATGGGGAGGTCCTCCTAGCAAAGTTGTGTTATTTCCAGAATCACCTGGTACCTTACAGGTTCTGGTCCAAGAAGTCTGTTACTCCCAGCTCTTTACCCATTCTCCCCTAAGATTTAAACATCAATTTTGAGCATTCTCTGCAATTCATTTCTTGCAATTTTAGCTCTGAGAATATAGTTTTGAATAAAACAAAACCACTTTGTTGATATTTTTTTTACTTCTCACAACCTTTTTGCTTGAACAAATATTGAAGATAACTCCTAGGATTGAAAGGGTTAAAGCTTTCACTTATAAAAGCAATATCCTGGCTGCCCAAAGTTCTTTAATGTTGTGCTCTTTTCAGATTCCTCACCTTGAGCCGGTGAAAGAGACACCAGGTATTCAGCCCTTGGAGGAGAAGGAGCCTCTGTCTGCTGATGGACATCTTAATGATGCCCCTTATGATGAGGAGCCAGAAGAGGCTGAAGAGGAGGAGGAGGAGCTTGAGGGGCCAGGGTCTGAAACAGAGGCACCTTTAGAGGATATTTCTGGTGAACCAGCTGAGTCAGGTACATGTTTTACTGTTGCCTTAATAAGTAAACTCCCCAAACTGATTAAAATTTAACTCCTTCTTACAATGTTTCTACATTAACCTACAAACAGGTGACAAGAAAAGACAAATTTGTCTACAAGACAGTGTTATCTTGATTTAACATCAAATTCTCTGAACTAATTTGAATGGAAATGTAAAATTGCAATGGAATGAGTTTATTGATAACTTTCATGTACTCCTTTAAATTCAAAGATCTGATTTGTAACTCTCCTTTCTCTCTTTTTTGTGACTTCTTGAGACAGTTAAGAGAATTTGGTGCTTTATCAAGTTGACACTGTCAGACTGATAAGTTGCCTATTCTTGTCATCTTTTTTCATGGGAGGGGGGGTGGTGGTGTATGATTGGAAATGGTCAGTGAAGTTCCTTATTGATTGCATATGGGAGTTAAGGAGAAACATTTTTATTTTTATGTCAATAATTCTATGCAGGTGTTCATAGCATTGGATATGATTTATTTTTTTTTATCTTGTGGTTTGATTGCAGTGCCAGAGAAGCCGAAGACCTGGGCAGCTCTTGCAGCATCTCGCACACCACCAGCTCAGTCTAGCTCAGCTCCATCCACAAACTCACGCCCAGTGCGTCAGGCTCAACAGGTAGCTTGAAAATGATAACATAACCAGCAGCAAGTGCTGGTCATTGCTGTTCAATTCCTCCACTCAATTTTGATATTTTGCAAAAGGGGAACTAAGAAACTACCAACTAGAGGATACTGCCTGCATCAAGCAACAACTTTCACAGAAGTTCAGTACATAAGTGTATGTTCTTCAGACAACAACCCTCTTCTTAAAAAAATTGCACCAGATGAAAATTAATAGATGGATAAGTAAATAACATTAAAAAAAAAGCAATGTTGGGGAAAAAATGACAATCCACATTGAGAGGAGAGGTTAGTAAGTGTTTGTACATCCAACTTGATGGCAGCAGTATCTCTAAATCTTAGGACGAAATCTATTGGCAACACATGTTGTGGTATGCAAAGGACATGTTTTTGTGTCAAATCATTAGTCTGAATTGTGTTGTGCTTAAATATTTTCAGGCATGAAGGTATCTACTGCATCATGTTAATTTATTATTCCTTTTTTTTTTTTTTTTTTTTCAGCCTCTTTCTCAGCCTGTCTTACAGCCACCACCAAGGCCCCAGCCTGCTCCTGCCCGCTCATCTAAGGATGCTCGTGGGGGAATGAACACTAGAGATGCAAGGCTGACGGCTCGCAATGCTCCAGATAATCATCAAGTGTTTATTGGAAACTTGCCAGCAGGGGTCAAGGATGAAGAAGTGCGCAATGTGTTTTCTAGTGAGTGCACATGTGGACAAATAAAAAAAAAATATATATATATATATGTACACACATATAAATGGGGGGTAGAGTCTACCTTGGCATAAAGTACTCAATGCTGTGGTAGCAGAGCTGAGTATATATAAGTGAAAGAATCAAAGAGGACACATTGTTTCTCTAGAACCGTTGGTGCTAGAGAATCAATGCGTCCTCTTTGATTCTTTCACTTATATTTAAATATATATACGAATTGTGCCTTATTTTGACAAGCCTGTAGGGCAAATCACAATACAAACAACGAATAAAAATACTCAGCGATACTACACACCAAAATGTCTAATACCAGTGGTATTATCCAACTGCTTATTTTTCTGCTTAGTCTTTCTGTTCATTTGTTCTCTTAGGGCAGGAAAAGTAAAGTGGATAGAAAAGCTTAGCATGCATAGCCAACTGGTTAAACAAGTTTTTTTACAGTATAAAATAACCAACTGTCCAAATAACCATACAATATCACAGGATATTTGTAGTCTATTTGCGCACTATTTGTACTCTACTTTGTGCAGAAAGAAAGATGTAAGACAAACAAAGATGTCAATTGCATGGCATAGGAAATTTTAAAGTTTAGGATTTGAAACCAAGGTAGTTCCTTTTTTTGCATTCAGATGCATTAGTGACAGCCATTTGGAGAGTTTTTTTTTTTACAAGCTAGGCCTTATATTAGGATCATATGAAACAAGCCTGATGCATTCTGCTAGGTCCTATGTAGAGCAGTAAAGCTGCAAATTTTATGCATCCATGTCAAATGAGGGATGTTTCAAAACATTCTTCTTGAGTTTGGGGCAGGAAATCTGAGTCCTGCATTAATCCTTGTTTATTCTGTCAGATGCTTGAATGTTTGTGACCCTCCTTGCATTATAATATATTCATGTATATTTATTTTTCACACTATCTTTCTCTTCCAGAGTATGGAACCATATTGGAAATCAGGCTAAATCCTAAGGTACTCGCCTCATTAATATACACGTTTTAAGCTTACTACAGATTATTTTTTCTGCTACTGTTGGCCATGGTTTTTTTAGCTTACATGAAGCCGTACCCTCCCCCCGCCAAGGAGGCTTCCGTTTCACTATCGGGGGAGGGTACAGTAACACGTAGGCTGTGGTTTTCTTCTGTTGTGTTTGTTTGTTGGGTTGTTTGGTATCATTGAAGCCAGAATAATCAAAGATTCACTTAAACTATTTCCAACAGTCCTAATAAGTTTTTTTTGTGTGTTATATTTGTAGAACTTTGGATTTGTGATTTTTAACAGCTCTGAACCAGTGGAACAAATTTTAATCTATCATCATCATCATCATCATCATCATCATCATCATCATTATTTTGAACAACAAATTGATTGAAATTTTTATTTTTATGATTCTCAATGTTAAAGACATAAATCCAGACCTCTTCTTGCCACCTCGCCTGTTAAATTCGATTGAAGTTAGTGGTCGAAAGTAATCGAGGGGGGGGGGGGAAGGGGGAGAAGAATGGCTTTGCTTTTAAAATCTCTGTGTAGAAAACTTAATAAGTAATCATCTCATCCGACGGATACAAGACAATTTGGTTTTATCAGCTGATTTGATAATGTAAATTGGCCACCATAAAGAATTCGCTTAAACGAAGGGTTAACGCTCTAAATGTCAGCTGCAGAAACTCTTGAAGGTTGCCAAATAGAGAATTATACATGGGCACGCATAGGTATGGAATTTCTCTTCGAGTGTTGAACTCGATAGCTCACGAGTGAGATGACGAGTTGAACACGAGAAAAGAAATTTCATATCTACAAGCAACCATGTACCATGTACATAAACACAATAGCCTTTTAGTAACAAAAAAAGTCGACTTTATCAATGAATGAAAATAAAAGGATTAATGATCGCTGAATAAAAATTGTAAAGTGCGTAGGTGCTAAGGCTCAAGATGAAAAAATGCGTTGAAACACTACAAAAACAAACGATGGCCGTAGTTTTCAATATACAAAATTTTCAGTTATTGACTTGGTCCTTACCGACAAAAGAAATCTTTCAGATACACGGGCAAAATCGGCCTGTGGCAAATTTTCCAGTTATCGATTTTCGTTCTCAGCGATATCAAACACATGTAATAAAACGATATTTTTCACGTGTGTTAGTGCGGCTTTTCTTAGGAAATCCTTGTATAACACCGTAGTTAATATGATTATTAGCATTATCAACTCAGTTTACAAAACCAAACTATCTTATTTTATCCCCCTACCACCGGCACAGCACCATAGTTTCTGTAAAAACTTGCTCCATTATTCAATCAGATACAAGATTGAAAGTCGCCCCAGACCCCGCTCTAGACAGAGGTACTTTCCGCTGTTGGGATTAGTTTGGTTTTGATGTAACGTCTCAATTGCAATGGACTATTCGAGTTCTTTGTAAACTGATATGTTACTAAAGAAATATGTAATATACACCTCTTTTCGTTTATTGTAGCCAATCAAAATCGGTAGCCACGAAATCAACATTGAAGAAAAGAAACCGAGCGGATCAGTTGGGCGTGGTGGTGGTGGCGGCGGCGGTGGCGGCGCGAACCGTCCACGCGGTAGTTCTGGCGGTGGGGCCCGTGGAAACTCCCGCGGGGGTGCAAGTGGTGGTGGTGGACAAGCTGGCCGTGGAGGAAGTGGAGGGTCTCGTGCGAATAACCGAGGAGGATTTGGGACGGGTGGTGGCGCTGCAAGTGCAGGGTCTGGATCTAGTGGACGCGCAGGTGGTCGTCGAGACAGTGGTGGACGTGGTGGAAAATATAAGTGACTTTGTGACGAGATGTCCTACATTAGTATAAATAAATTATACCAAAAAAAAAAAATAAATGAAAAAAGTCAAACATTGCAACGAGCCATGGTGGCGTTAGCTTCGCCTCTCTTTTAAAGCATTTCTGTCCTCGTGTATCGTGTGATTGCTTCGTGCTACTTGCTCTGTGTTCGAGTCAAACGTCAAGTTTGCTTGCATTTTGTCTGCTGGCAGATATCCTTGAGAATGTTTTAGTTGCCATCTTTGAATCATAGCAATACAGAAAGTCACCGTGTGAGTGTGAGGTACACGGAATGTTCCACCGTGAGTTTACTGTCGTTATGTAGAACGCTAAAAGTGAAAACGTGAGACTTTTGTTGCCATGGACACGCTCATCTTCATACATCGCTACTGAACTTAGCGATCTTAATACGAAGCGAATTTGAGATTTAAAGAATTGTGAACTTTTTTAGAATAGGAACTCGTTATAAGGAAATACGATGTTTGCAGTATTTATATTGGATATCACTATTACGAATCACTGAGGAATTAAAAAGATAACTTGTGCAATATTGTAGCTTTGGTGCAATGCTTTTTTTAAGCTGTTTGCACCAGTCCCTTTTTTGTTGCTTTTGTTGTTTTATTTGTGTGGTTGTTTGTTTGTTTGTTTTGTTGGTGTGTTTTGTTTTCTCGGTGGTGCAGACAACTCGGGAGGCTATGTTTTCTTGCCGCGTTGGGTTGGGTAGGACCCGTTCAGGCAGGACAGCTTTTTCTCATAAAATACTCTTTGGCTCGCTGCCCGGCCCAAATTTTGCCCAATATGTAACCTCCCAGCCGGCACGAGACAGACGGGTGTGGGGAAAGCTGTAACGAGGTGTTACGACGCTGGGTTAAGTTGTCTCGAGGGCGAGGGATGTCTCGCGTACCCAAGACTAAATGAATGGGGCTGAATGTTCACAGCCTTCACGCCTCTCCTCGAATGTTGATAAACTTTCATCAAGGAGGAGGAGCCCTACAGCTCGTTGATAGTTCTCTTTCTCTTGTTCACCCCTCGTTACTCGCGCCTATACGAACCTTGACTCCGCACAGGGATCAGAGGAGTCACGTCGGATCGTATTTACAGTTAGCCCTTTCCTCCCTGGCATCAGTATGCATATTCTCTATATGAGAGTGGATTCAAGGTTACCACAACTGAGTCGTTTGACGCGTAAAAATTTAATGGAGGGCTTCCAAGCGCCTTAAAAAGATGGGGGGAAGGTTTGCAAGCTGGTATGTTACTTATTGTAGATTATCCTATAAACGAAGGTTAAAGACTTTCAGAAAAAGCAACAAGAAGGATGCCCAAGAAGAAACTCGCATTTAAGACCGTATTTGATAAGTCTTGACAAATGCTTGTTTCTACAAATCAACTGCCAATGCTCTTAGAAGCAGGTAGTCTGCCGAGATTGAACTTACGAACTTCTACAAAGTTAAAGTATTTTTGTTTTGTTTTTTTGACAGCACGAGGTGAAGTAAGCCGGAGGGCATTCCAGACAAAGACAAAATAATTAATACCATTGGTTGCTTTTATCGACATTTGCATCCTGTGGGAACGTTGACAGGTTTCAAATGTCGTCTTTCAATTTTAGCGTGACTACAAGTATGAGGGAAATCATGCTAATTGCTGTGTGATATTTCGACTGTTCGTCGACAAACTGCTGTCGCTAGTAGCGAATTGTCGACAGGCCTGTACCGGACAGGGCTTAGAAATCGAGATTTTCCGGTGGTAAATACTCGATACTATAAACTCAAACCAAGCTTTGTTTCATAACGATGTCTCTGAGCTGTTTGGGTTGTAATTTAAAATACATTTTCGTGGCGGTTCTTTCTGTTTCCTTTACGACCTTGATGTTTTTTACTTTCAAGGGGGTCATGCTGCGAAGCACCGTCGTTCCTATTCGTCGCAACACTGTCGCCGTTTTAAACAGGACAAACCCGAGCAAAACCGGGTGGCGCGAACACAAATTTGACATGCGAGGAAATGATGTTATGGTTTTCTTGCATATTCAGAAAACTGGAGGAACCATTTTTGGTAATCACCTCATCAAAGACTTAGATATAGAAAGGCCATGTGCTTGTACAAAGGAGTCACGCCGTTTGCCAAAGAAAGGATGGTCGCAAGTATGCCATTGTTTTCGACCAGGTTCTAGCCGCATTTGGTTGTTTTCTCGATTTCATTTGGGCTGGCCGTGTGGACTCCACGCTGACTGGACCGAGCACAAAGAGTGTGTTCCAAAATATATGAACAAACGCGAAGGCCACAATAAGTTGAGGAAGTTTATCTATATAACGATCTTAAGGGAACCAGTTTCGAGATTCGTAAGTGAATTTTACTTCGTCTTGAGAAAAGGTGATATGTGGAGAAGTGCAACTCTTCGATGTAATGGGCGATCCCCAACCAAAGAAGAACTTCCCCCGTGTTTCGAGAGGGAAAACCTGAGTGATATTACGTTCGAAGAATTTATAGGCTGCCCGTGGAATCTTGCTTTCAATCGTCAAACACGAATGCTGGCCGATTTACGACGGGTGAATTGTTACAACACAACAGGAATTTCAACAGAAAAACGAGGAAAAGTTATGTTAGAAAGTGCCATGCGTAATTTACGGGAAATGGCATTCTTTGGCTTAACAGAATATCAAGAGGAAAGTCAATACTTGTTCGAGAAAACATTTGGATTAAAATTCCACGATCCGTTTACGCAGTTCAACCTAAGCGAGACAACCGCCGGGACTAAGACACCCAAATTCAACAGCTCTATGTTAAGTCAGATAAAAGCTTTGAACTCACTCGATTTAAAACTTTACGAGTTCGCCAGAAACTTGTTTTTCAAACGTTCAAAACGTTTTAGAAAGACGGATAGAATCAGCATGAAAAAGAGATCATCTTGAATAAAAGATGTAGGTCAAGATTATTAAGGATCAATAAGAAACCCATTGTTGTGGTTTATGTTTCGCTAGATTTTGATTGACACCGCAAAGCGTCTTTCCAAATTACTTATCAGTTCCCAAGTTATCCGTTTTAGCTACAAATCTCCTATGAGGATCATCTGATTCGGCTATGTCGATTAACCATGCCTTCGAATTTTACCTACGGTTTGTGTAAACTCTCACTGCAGCAGAAGTGCTGTTGTTTGCTAGGCAGATGTCAATGCGCTCCTTCAGCACTACCGTCGTGCGCGCCGAAAAGTGTTTTGAAACAATTTGCGGCTTAGCTCGTCCATATTCTTGATCCATTCTTCCACTGTCAGCAGATCTCCATCCATCTAAAACTGGGTTGTCCCTTAGAAATGGCTCAACTGTATGCAATGATTTTACGAACTGGATTCAGTTGAGTGATTTCATCGTCCTCTGGTGCTGTGGCTATGACTGGCAGGCACACACGGTATTAACGTAAATGGATTGTTCTCTTCCATCGCGACTGCTTAGCCCCAAGGAAAATCTCAACTCTGTAAGGCAATTCGGTATCGTCAGGGGTTTCTTTTCAAACACCAGCTGTCTCGCAACACCACTGTATAACGTGACGTATGCTTAGCGTTGGAAAAAGAGAAAAAATGAGTGTTCTACGAGGATTCGACCTCTTATCACCTAATTTCGCGATCTAATGTTCTCTTTCTGAGATGAGAGAACTCGATTGTGAGTACGGACATAAAGTAATTACAAGCCAAGTTGTTGTAAACGTGCGGACTAGAGAACTGTGACTTCATACTCCTGAGATCAACGAAACTCGAAATTATTGAGCCGATAAATAGATGAAGAATGAACGTGGATTTAAACTCGGTAGTTACATAGTAGAGAACGAAAGATCTCAATTCATTTGACGACCAAAACTCTTTTAGGATCTATTTTCATCCCTAATATTACCATTTGTTACACCGGCTCTTATGATGAGCTAACGCCCGCCTCCCCCCCCCCCCCAAGGTTTTCACTTGCCAAAGCTCGAGGTTGATATCTTTCGTTCGGTGGCTGTTGATGACAGGTTTGAATGTGTTTGTTACAGATGTCGGTAGAAAGGTTGCCTTTCAGCCACCTCATCATTCGTTTGGAGCCTATGACATTAAATATCGAAGAAATGAAAAAGAAAATGATGAATGATAAATAATAATAAAATGAAAAATATGACGGAAGTTAAAGAAGAAAGTTTTCACCCCTCTATTTTTCGACTAAACAGACAAAGCAGGATATTTTCAATGGCAAAGATTGGCAAAACTGTTTAACGTAATTCTAGGGTTTCAGTAATCAGAGAGACCGGTAAATCGATGTGAGATAAAGCGAGGAAACTGAATACAGGGAGTGTAGCGTAACGCAATTATCATCGTCCTTCTTTCCACGCTTTAATGAGCCTTGCTCTATCAAGCAACTGCACGCCTGCAAGCTGGCTCTAATTTGCGCTGCGGCACGAGCCAATATGTTTCGGGCCAGCGAGTGATGTAAGCACGCGGTGGGTCTACAGGATTTCAATTCAGAAACAATCATTTCTAGTGCCAGACCACTCATGAACGTCTTGCACGCTCGCTCTCTTTCACTAACAGAATGCTTGGGAGTAAGCTACAACAAAACAAACGCAAGGGAATCTCTGGAACCTTTGAGAAATCTCTAACATAATTTCCCTAGTTGCGACAGTTGGTTCATAGACTAAACTACATCTGTGAAAAGCTACCGGGCAGTGGTGACGGGCGGAGAAGGGCGGGGCAGACAGGCGGTAGGAAAAAAATGACAGGGGTAACTGTTGTTCCTTATAACCAACGCCAAACGTGCTTCACCTGACATTCCCTCTGATGAACCAAATTTGGCATCATAGTTTGTTAAAAAGAGAAGACTGGAGGTTCACTAATCGATAAGAATGTCAATCTTTTGATGAACCTTTGTTTTAAACTGTGACGTTTTGACATTTGCTCGTCTTCCTTTTGTCATGAATATCGTTGACCATTGCTATGGTGGGGGGGAGGACGGTTTTTCTTTGAGACGAAATCTTCCTCAAGAACGTTATTGAATCAATATTATAATTTGCTTCATAACATCTTTCTCTGACTTTTTTCACCCTTAATAAGTCAACTAAAATTTTTCCTTATTATTTACATTTAAATACATTATCACTGAAATATATATTACGTCGAAAACTGATAAAAATTTATTCGGAAACCTGAATTCTCGAATACATATTAAAAATTCTAACTTTAAGCTAATCATGTCGACATTTTAACAACTTTTATTTGCAAAAAAAATAAAACTACACACATTTACCATATTAAGCTGACTACCTTACTTGGGTGATCACGAAGAGATCACTAAAGCGGTGCTCATTTCTGCAGTTAACATACCTACTTATTCTTCTTATTTCTTTTGACATTTATTAGTGATTCACTGATATAATTTTGTACCTGCCATTTTAAATACCTGTATTTACATTACCTTTTGGTAAAAAAAGTTCTAAAAATTCATTACAACCTAAATAATGATTGAATAATTTTATGATTCTGGATCCTAAAACGTAAAAGCATTTGAATTAAAAAATCAGCAAGTGAATGAAAACG